AAACGTCTAACTCAAAGGGCGACATACGATTTGTAAGTCACTTTGGAGAATTGTTTATCGCCTTCTTTCAAGATGAGTCGTAGAACTTCTTCTACCGATCATTCATGTCTAGGCCCATCCAGTAGAGGGTCGCATAGGCTGATATTATATTATCTTCATCGTCGATCTTACGCCTAATTCAAGTAGGAGCACCGCGATTCTTTCAGAATATATTTCGTAATAGGATATCCTCGATCTCAGATGTGGGGCTATAATAAAGCCAACACCACCAATCTTTCCGTTGCTCGATCCTGCTCCCAAGACTACCTCGTGACCTGTGTGCCACTTCCACGTTCCTGTCTGAAGCCTTAGCGTTTCCTGTATGCACGTCACGTCCACCGCACATCTGTCCAGCTCTGATATCAACTGGTCAACTTTAGCATCATTAGCAAGTCCTCGAGTATTTATTGTGGCAATATTTAGGAAACCATTTGGCAGATCGCTTTCCGTGAGATTTCTCCTCCCTCTGCCGTTGTCCTCTCTGCCATAAAGGACGGTGGCCGCACGGGACTGAGGGTACTTCTTCTTCAACTTCAGGGTCAAATAGATCTCGCCTGGTGAGCCTGGACATACCCTTCACCGCCTAGGGACGCATACCACTCTGGCGGTTAAGCTCCACTGCCGCCGAAGTGGACTGTCAAGAGGGGGCCGTTTTTAGAGTCTCATGCGGCCAGACAGCGTCGCTTGCTCCGGGCCGAACAATCGTGATTCCTTCTCACGCGTGAGTAATGCCTACACCAGCACCACACTTTTGAGGTAACGGGGCAGGGGAGTAATGTTAATATTATATATTGAAATATCAGGCTGGTATACTAACCCGACTATATATATATATACAGGTATAGTGCACCCGATATATACCCTTTATTGATACTATATTCTATATACAAATAAAGCAAAACATAATAAAAAACCGCGCCGTCAAGAGTCTTTCTTACGGTAATTGGTTCTTTTGACTGTATACTTTTTTTCTGCTGTGTGTAATCAGATTTCAGGTTCAAATAATTAGTTTTGAGATAGTTTTGAGGAGAACGATAAGGTCCGACACTTCAACATATTACTTGCACATTTGTATTGGTGATGGCCGACGAAAGAAAAATTCTCCGAACCCCGAACTGTAAAAGTCGTTAGTGTTTCCAACCTGGGAACCCTAAATCGAGTCTGGAGCGGAAACTACCAGTAAATAAGTATCAAATCATGCCGCGCAGAAAGTCATAAATTCATTAAAAAGAAGTCGCAATTGCAACACGACATACGCAAAATCGAACAACATGAGCAGATCGAATGACTCGTTAATAATCCTCTCTCAAATCGCGAAAGAATCTAAACCAAAGGGCAAAACCCCTTAAATAAGTAACAGTGACCAAATCCCACGTCATTGAATGCACTGTCTACTAGGGCAGCTTCCTCCACTTCTCTTGAAATTTGACGAGATTCTCGCCCATTGATTAGATTCTCGCCCATATTCCCGGCTCTTATTTCCACCAAAGGTATTCCTACTCTTTCCCATGATGTTCCGGCAGTGCTCAGGACATGGGTTGTGAATTGTTCTTTTCGTTGAAAGCGCGCCATGCTGGCGAAGCCACTCCTTCCCAGTGAAGGTACGATGCTTTTGGGTTCGCACTAATCTAAGAAGATGAGCCGAAAAGTAACAGCGAAGGCGAACCTGTCATACACGGGATAAGACCGGCTCCTGTCGACTTGTCAACTGGCTATAAGCCAGCTGTGCCTCTTAACGACTAGATTCGAACGTGAAGTACTTGCGACCCGTTAGTCCGCCCGCGCTAATGATGACTTGTTTCGGGCGAAAATGGGCCTACGCACATTCCTTAAAAGTTTGGGCGATTCCAATAGCGCCGCTACAACGACTCCTAAGCCGGGCCACACAACGAGGGTAAACTCAAAAGAATTGATTTCGCAAGGCGGAAGCAGCAGTCATGAAATAGGATGGGGTTGGCGGAAGGTCCTTGAAAGGGAAAGAACATTTCGATTCAAGGAATTAACTGTCGTAGATGGTATATAACATAGCGGTAGGCAAATTCGTCGTGGTGTAGTCCGTAGAAAGAAAGTTGGTTACAACTGCACAGGGTGAGAGACCAAGTGCAGTGCCATGCCAGGTATCTGTATTCAGGATAGTATCCATTTCTAGAAGGAGTTTCGTATCGGCTCGTATGAAACTGTACGTGACTGAGTTCGCCTTCTAGCTATAGAGCGACCAAAAGCATCGCACCTTCACTGTGAAGGATTGGTTTCGACAGCATGGCGCGCTTTCAACGAAGGGAACAATTCACACCAATGTCCCGAGCGCCATCGAAACATTATGGGAAAGAGTAGGGATACCTTTGCTGGAAATAAGAGCCGGGAATATGGGCGAGAAACTCGTCAAATTTCAAGAGAAGTGGAGGAAGCTGCCCTAGTAGACAGTGCATTCAATGACTGATTCCTTACTTAGGCCTTGTTAGTATTTCAGCGTACCCAGAAGATCATTAACAAAGTATTGGACCTGCCCAGTGTTATTCATCATGCGTAAGATTGTTTTGTTGAATTGTAAGCTCGCTAGAGTAATTTGAAACCTACTTGGAATTTGCTCATACAAGCCAAATGAGGAATTATCTTTAACGTTGAGAATGATTTTTTTCCAATTCCCTTAACGTCCCTCACCTCCAATACCGACAAACCAATATAATGCACCGTTTCAAAGTGGAGATAAACGAATCTGTCTAACCAAAACATATCAAATTTTGAAATTGATCAATTGACTCAGCAGAAAAAAGTTACCAGTCAAAAACTTCTATATCCGGGGCAAGAAAGACCTTTAATGACAGGATCTGAAAGAGCTAAACGATAATATGTAATATAATATGAAATAGGCGCCAAAAAGTGCAAAAAACACTGCTCACCGACGAACCGACCGAATAACCTACTGTAATAGAACAATCGAGACCTAAAGCGCGATTTTGTAGCCGAAAATGTACTGGACCTGAATAGTGTTTGTCTGTCTGACCGGAAATTCATAGCTCGGGCACCAGTGGTCGTCAGGAGTTGGTTTCAAGATATGATATAGGGGGTGGGACGGGAACATATTTGGTGGGGTAAAGAAAGTGATCACAACTGATAAGGGCTGATAAAAGGCGCTATCCATAACATAGAACTCAGGGAGTGATCAAGCGAAAGAGTCAAATAGCTACGCAGGCGACCAGTGGTCGTCAGAAGTTGGTTTCAAGATCATGAATATAGGGTTACGCGGAACACATGATTTTGTTGGGGACACCACTGAACACCAAACCGCGAACCCAACCGAAAAACCAACAACCGGTCCAACTATGTGATAACGCAATCTGATAATGAGCAGCATAAGAGGGCTAAAACACAATTTTCACAAAATTCATAGTGCGCTTCGCAGCAGTCGCCAGGAGCTGATTTTGGGACCTGATATGGGGGTCTGGGACGGTAACATGTTTTGTGGGGGTCAAAAAGTGATAACGACAGATGAGGACTGATAATTACGATATGCGTACGAACGTAGAGATTACTCGAAACCAGATTGCAGATAATGCATTTCATTTCATTATCATTTCATTAGCGTTATAATTGTAAATTCAAACACCTTTCAACCGCTACACCTTCTAGAGTTCTTGAGGATGAATGGGATGCTCTAATAAATTTGATAGTGAATACTGGGCATTCCGTCTTGAGATTACCAAAAATTATTCGACCGCTAAATTTCCTCGATTCTCGATGCATGGTGGTTGTTTACATACATCACTTTAGCTGTGCACTTCACTGCGCTTATCAAACAGTGAGATACAGCCAAGATGGGCAACGGACAGTAATGCATTTAACGAAGCAGCTATAGTTAAGCGGTGAAACCCAAAGCTTCACCGATTGTCAATTTTGTCCATATGCCGCCACCGCTAAAAATGAATGTCGTTTTCGTAATCAGCATATCGAATTACCCCTATGGGCAAGTTACGGTTGTCTCTAGATGTACGCAAGTGCACTGCACCAGCGGAGGTGTTTTTACGTGATATTGGCGCGGGCTTATTTACCGGAAATTAGGGTATGGGTCCTGCATCCAGTAAACTCATTTTTTCCTCGCATGCGTGTTCATTTTTGAGTTTCTTGTGTTTATTCCATGGAGAAGACCTTATAATAGCTACAAACATAGTGATCTTAGAATGGTCACGTATGCTTCAATTTAGAGGAGGTTTTCTGAACCAACGAAATCTTCAGTCTAATTGATTTTTTGTTTACATTTTCTTTTCATGAATGTGAATATTTAAAGGGTAGTGAAGTCAATACGGAACCTGGACGACAAGGCATGTGTTGATTGGAGCAATTGAGGTAAAATTGCTTTTGATATCCATTCTGTCAAATTTTTCTTTTCGCTGTCAGTATTTCGTTCAAAATTTCACTACTACACCTCTTGGAGGGCTCTATGCACTGGAAAACACTAATCTAACTTTGTATCAATCATTTTTTATGCATTTACCATACAAAATTCGCTTGAACACCTGAGGCGGCGGCGCTCGCAAAATCGCGCCGGTCCCACGCGGCCAAAAAAGCCAAAACGCGCGTTGTCGTCAAAGTGTTAGTATTCGAACTGCATTTCTACCAACCCGAAGTGACCGATGGATCTCATCGATCACTTCTCTTATAGCTAGTTTTTACTTGTTCCATATCGTCGATTCAGTAGTTTACGCCCAAATGAATATCTTTTATTAGGCCGAATAGTGTTCGGACGGATAGTTTCCACGAAAGGCTTTCATAATTCCAGGCTCTAAAGAAAGCGACAGCGCCGAAACATCAGCCGAATGGAAGGGTTGCCAGTCTTGGTGCGAGCTAAACCACTGCTCCAACTTTTACCTCCATGTCTACTCATCAAAATCATTTGCAGCTGTTTGGACCTCGTATCGTGAATGAATAATCTGAGCAAAAAGTATGGACCGAAAGAAGCATACCTGCGTATATGACTTCGTGAATCTTCACTTTTCGCGGGCGAGTACGTGGTCCTAACATGGTCGGTGTTTTGTGTGAAGAGAGTTTTAGAAGTTGGTAATTCTGAAACAGAAAACAGAAGAAAAATCAGTCGGCAAGACGCCCTGTCGAACCGTAAACCTTTGCTTCGTCGACGAGGTCACGGCAATCGAGATTCTCCATCACTAGCGCGTTATCACTGACAGTGCTGACAAGAAATTTTGGGCTACAGAATGGAAGTCGTACATGCTCCAGCAGCTGTAAGATCATTACTGAAAAAATGTATCATATTTTGACGAGAACCATAACTCCTACGTTGAAAAGAAATTGCTTTCGATCTCGCAAGTCGAATCTAACCCATTGCAGCACTGCTGTAAATACCTGAAAGAACAGATAGTTGTTTGCTCAACTGAGTGATGAAGAATATGACGTAACAAATGTTCGATGTTAATCACGAAATTTGACCACATGCCTGCTCTTCTGATCGTACACGTAGCTCGTCGCTTGAAATTAGTTCAATTACTTGGTTAGCTGGGAGTTGGTGAAACTCTTCAGTGCCAAGAATGTCCTAAGAAAAGAATAGTTGAATGCAGAGTTTATGCAGGTCTGAATGCTGAGCCAAAAAAATCCATAACCTGAAAATTATGCAAGATGTAC